ATTCTGTCACATATTAAGCAAGATGATGGATTTGATTTTTCATGGCTTACTTCTTGGCTTCCTAATTTTTCATGGCTAAAGCAGATGTTCCTTTTAATTGTAGCAGGTATATGTATTTTCCTAATGATTTGTTGTGGGGTGCAATGTGTACCTATGTGCTGTGACTCACTCAGGAAGTTGATACCTACCCCTGTCAACCGAGTGATGTTCACGAAACCTTCAGTCACGGATCCAATCCAGAAGAATCGAGAAGATGCAAAACGGTTTTTGAGGCTAAAAGGAATGGTCGAGGACTATGGTCCCATTTCATAGGGTCATAGCCTTGAAGGGGGGATTTGATGTAGTCTTTTTTATGGTATATCTAGCTTTTGCAAATTATATCTAACTGAATACTTAAGGCAGCTTGCTGGTGCTGGGAGGGGTGTGGTATATGTATGTTAAGGAATGCTTGCCTGCTGGGAAAGAAATGCCACATAGGCAAGCCCAGACAAGTATGGACATGTTCTGTGGCTAAGGTAATATGCGCATGGGCTAAGAAAAGGCAGCCAATAGTAACGGTACAGCGTGTTAAGTGGGAGAAAGCTATATAAGGCTGAAGCAAGCCAAATGGGGTGGCGCTTGCTTTGCGAACGATCGCCAAGCACCCCTCTCTGCGCAGACTTGAAACAATAAAGATTAAGTTGGATCCTCCACCCCTGTGTGTTTATTGGCAAAAGCGCACTGGGCACGAACTCACGCTGTCCTTTGGGGACAACAACCTGGCAGGGGAAATGCCATGTATCTGTGTCCAAGAAGGCAGTTTTCCTGAACTGCTTTGCAGGAGAACTGGTCTTCTGGCGTGGTTTGGTACCCACTGAGGTGTAGCAGCTTTAAGCCCAGTTTATGGAATGGGAGTCCACCTTGCTTGATCTGGGGGCCTTATGGCTGGGGGCAAGCTAACCTTGGGGGATCTGAACCCAAAGTGTCCAGGCTTGGGCCTGCTCCTCGTCAAAGGATTTGAAAGCATCTGAAGCCCCAAGCAGGGGTGGAGGTTGCTTGCCAGCAGTAGGGCTTCATTTGGTACTTGGATGACTTGCAGATTTGGAATTGATTTGGCTGATTTGACTTGGGGGGGACAAACATTTCTTTAAAAAAAACCAACAACCTCTTGAAAGTCAGTCAAGACTTCCTGAGAGTGACTTTGGTTTTGCATATGCTGCATCAGTTAACTGCCTCAAAAGTTATCGTGGGTTTTGGGGCTCTATGTTGTAGCCACGTTGGTCTGAGGAAAAAAAGATAAACACAGCTTTCCAGTCAGAGATGATATCTTTTATTAGTCTGAGATACCCCGGGGAATAAACTTCCAGCCTCTACCTCCCCTGTGCGCAGTGAAGTTTCTTTTCTGCCTATCAGAACTTTTATAATCTTTGAATTCTCCTCAGCCTGAAGAAGGCTGTATGTGCCCAAAAGCTTGCAAAGAAAGGAAATGTTTTTTGCTACCGTTTAGTTAGTCGAACAAAAGATACCACCTCTGACCCAAGAGCTTTGCTTATTGTACGGTTTGAACACTTAATATTCTCTCTCGAGCATGGGTTGAAATGATCCTGCAAATACAGTAAGTATCGTACACCTGCCTCAGGAAAGTCCCCCTGCCCTCGCCCTGCTCTGTCCCGTGCACCCCGCCCCAGGCCGGCCACACGGAGGGCGATGGCTTCGCTGCTGCAAGCGCGCATGCGTGTGCTTACCCGCCCCAGGCGTTCCTTTGGCCCACCACGACCTGCGCGAGAAGGGGGCGGAGGATCCGGCCCCGCCCCTGCGCTGCCCTTTTCGCTGCTTTCCTATTGGCTTCGGGCCCGTCCCCCATTCAGGTTGCTTATTGGTCCGGCCTGCGGCGGGCTCTGCCCCCCTATGCTGATCCTGGCCTGCTAAGTGGCCGCTCGCTCTCCCGTCCCCGCGCGCGCTCCTCCCTCCGCCTCATCT